ATAATAATAATAATAATAATAATAATAATAATAATAATAATAATAATAATAATAATAATAATAATAATAATAATAAGTCCAATAAACCTTTTTCATGATTATTCTTGTTTTACTCGGAAGAGAAAGCTTCTGCATTGTGGTGCATGCTTCAAAAATCAATCAAGAAAAGCTTCATACTGTTTGGCTAATTTTTCTTTCTATTTTATTTTCTCATTTTTGAATTGATTTACACTGACTTAGAGATGGGCTTTTTAGGTAAAATTTTCTGACCACAGTTTATTAAAGTAGGTAAAAGATTGGTATCACACTAGTAATAGCAGTGTGGTTATTATTATTTACATTTGGGTTATGGACTTGTGGGCTTTATGGGGTTAAGTAGCCAAGTAATGATGGCCAGTAGAAAGTTGGAAGAAGAGTAAAGTGAAAAAGGAAAATATTATTAATTATAAAGCCCTGTTCTGAAAGTACAACACCCAAAGCCACAGGTCTTGCCCAGATTGTCAATCTGCTTACCCCACTTGTACTGTACGGAATATATTTTTCAAATTGTTTTTCTATTGCTTTGGCTTTCCTAAGATAAGATTGTTTGTCGTGATAGATAATATCCCAAAAAATTTATGACTACCTCCCCTCCCCCCCCAAAAAAAAAAATAATATGTAAATAAGAACTTAACTACTAGAATACTCATGTATTACACGGGCGGAGGTTAGAATTAAAAAAATATATGATAAAAATTATTGCTAAAATAAATTTTTATTTAATATTTTGATGGATTAATTGATGAAAAAATAATTAAAAAATGAAAAAAGAAATAGACAATGCAGAAAATAATTGGTAAATTTTAATTTATTAGAGAAACTAGTACAACGCCCGTGTATTACACGTGTGCTTGCTAATTTTTTTCTTAAAATCTAAAATTAATGAGAAAAATTAATTAAAAATTTAAATACCTTTTTATAAAAATATATAGTGTTATATATTTAGTATGACACTTTTTTATTTGTGCGACTTATTTGTGTTATATTATAATAATTTTTTAACTTACAACATATGACTACATTAAACATAAATATATCAATTGAGAAATAATTTTATTTTTCTAATGAATTTTAATAAATATTATTATTTTTTATTATAATAAAGATAAATATAATTTATTTATTTCATATATACAATATGGATGTCAAATCGAATTGAAGATCATCAAAATTTAATTAATTTGATATATTATATATGTAAAACTGATAAGAAATACACAAGTTATCAACTTTTAAAATACATTTACAATTAAATAACTAATCGAAGGAAACAAATCAAAACTCAAGGATATCAGTCACATAATGTCTCACTATGTAAAATTACAAAAAAATAAAGGGTTATATTAGTACAAGTGTATTAAAATACCTAAGTTAGCTATTTAATATTTATGGAATGTCCGAACCTAGATTATTAATTATTGATATATCAATATTATTTGTCCAAACCTAATTACGAAGCATGATTTTTTGCCAAGTAGGATTCCAAAGCACCAGAAGCAGCCATATAGACTCAGCGCATTCGGGAATAATATATAGGGAGGATATGAGAGAAACTTGTAATATAGTAAGATTGCTACTTGCCCAAACTAAAAAAGAAAAGTGTATTAAGAGAAAAAATAACAAAATTAAATATACGTACACTTACAAAGTTAGAAAAAAAGTTATTTATGTCTAATACCAAACCTAACCCAAGAAAAAAATGAATATATAAACAACATTACAAAACGTATATTTTCTTCATGTCAGCATCCGAAGCGGGAGAATATGATACTTATGCTCAACATGTTTTGAATTAATATATAAGGAGAGATAATTGGATTTATATGGCAATATTAGGTAGCATACTAAATTAGAGAATTGATGTAAATTCGAAATTATATTTCTCTACAATTAGTATAACCTGTTGGGAAATGCTAAGGTCCCGTTACTGAACCGTTCCGTCGGGATTTGTACCCGTTAAATCATCATGTAACCGTAAGAGATAGTTGTTCTAACTGTTACAAACTCCGACGAAATGATTCCGTAACGAAACCGTGGAGCATCTTCCTAACATATTAATCCAATCAATTAATCAAAGTTGTTAATTCAATCAACTAGCTATATATGTTGCTCGCTCATTCAAACAACTATAAGTCCAATCAATTAATCAAAAGTTGCAAAAATTCAATAAATCAGCTGCTAGTCTAACTTTGCTCATTCAAACAACCATAAGTTATTCAATTGGTTAAAACTGCTAGCTAATTGAATAAATCAACTAGTCTAAGTTGATCATTCAAACTAGTATAAGCTAATTCAATCTAATCAATCACCTGGTAGGTAAATGCTCTTCTGCTAATTCAATAATACTATCAATTTAAGAGTATTTGTAAAAGTTGGTAGAGCATTGATCATGATAACACAAGGAAAACTTTAGTGGAAAATGTCAGGTTTTGAGAAGTTGCGATGTGGGATAAGGCTGACAATGAAAAAGGAACAGTGCACTCATATTAGCTAGACATGAGAATAGATAGATAGATATAAAGCCAAAAGGTATCAGCTTTAGGTGTTTTCCTCAGCTCAGCTGCTGCAAAATGGTGGCAAATAGTAGTAATGGCAATTAATTGGCAATACTAATAATAATAATAATAATAGCATCTGCGAAAAGCATTTATTACAAAAACCAATTCATAGCATTCAATAATCATGTTCAAAGAAAATGACACACAACTACTTAATAATTTTTAAAGGGAAAGTGAATTTTTTTGAAGTCACTTTTGTATCCACAACTAATTTCAATGACTGCATCGAAACAACATCATTCAGAAATTCAGCAAAGGGAAATAAAGATTTAACTACTTATATTGAAATAAAATCTGTACAGGCACCGAAATAGAAATAATAATAAAAAAAAAAGGAAAATCAAATTATAATAAATAAAGAGAAACAAAGGGAACTAGTAACAAAATTTTCCTCCACAGGCGGGCAGCAAGTAGTACTTGATGCATTCCCATTTGTACACGCCACCAAACCAAATGATTCTCCCGCCATCGTCTCTATTAACATTTTTCTTTTTTC